AAATCAAATATTTGAATCAAATCAAATCAAATCAAATTAAATGTGGAACCCTAATAAACATATCTTCTGAAGATATAAATCTAATATCAAAAATAATACGTGTTTGCTAGTTTAATATTGCATATATAGTAGAATTAATAATTAAATTATTTTAATATAAAGTGGCTAAAAATATCTAGATTTATAAATAAAAATATCAATATCTACATTATTAAATTAGTATATTATTAAAACTAAAGAAAAACTCAATAAGTGGAATTATAAATTCTATTGCAAGACATGTATTGAAAAATTGGACAAAGATAAAGAGCAAAAAAGTTGTTTTTCTAACAAAATGGATCGTATAATTTAGCACTTTAAAAAATGTGTGTATTTTGTAGAAAAAACTATATCAGAAGAGAGAGAAGAGATTTTTAATTTATTTAATGATTAGAACAAACAATCAAGTAAGAATCATATATAGATTTTTGTTTTTTAAAATATATTTACTAAATTTTTTTTTTTTTTTAGCTACTCCCAGTTCATCTTATGATACTACAAACATGCTCTGAAAGCCTATTACATGAACTTCTACTTATAGTCCACTTGACGACTATGCTGTTAAGCAATTGTTTTAACAAAATTATGAAAAATTCAAAATTCTTATATTAAGATTAACTGTATTATGTGAGTGGGCTTTTCACTGGGTAAATAAGCCAGAAGTGAAAGAATTATTCAAATTTTTAAATCTTTACCTTAAGCTTCTGGATCATCAGTTCCTCAGCAAAAAGATTTTAGAAGTGATTGTTTTTGAAGAGAATGATGACTTTTGATAGTTAGACTAATGTGAGAAATGAAAACTATTAGGAGTAATAGTTATTACATCAAATAGTAAGCCATATATGTGGAAGACCACTAATATTAGCTTGAAGAAAGAATCACATGTTAATGTCATAGAAAAGACAAATACAATGATTAATGAATTAAAAAATATGAATATCAAGATCTCTGCAGTTGTTATAGACAGTGCAGGCCCATATGCAGCATCCAGATATTTTGTTCTATTTCTTCATTATGTGAGTAATAACAAGAAAAAAAGCACTCTATTATATAAAATTTATATAATTGAAGTGCCTTTTCCCTTAACATCACTCATTTAATATATTTTTATTTATCTTTATATGAATATTAAGTGAAGGTTAAGACTCGTTCACAGAAACATTATATTCTTACCATACTATATGTATTAGCTAAACTTATGTATAGACGAAGTCTTTAAAATATTAACAAATCTAAAAACTACAATAAATCAAGCAATACAGTTAGCTGATTATTTTAAAAATGTGAGAAATAAATACTTTATCATACAATTATATGATCAACAGAAAAAATATATAATAAATATTATAGAATAGCTATTCCAAGTAAGACCAGATAAAATAGCTACTATATGGTAATGACTTGTCTCTTAAGAACTAAGTGAGTATTGCAGGTAAATAAAATATATTAAAATATTTAAATCAATTTAATATTAGGAGTACATATTTTATATCAATTGATTAATAATCAATTTTTATCATATGTACCGATTTTTTGGAATTTAAATTAGGATTTTTTAGAGTTTGTATTTTTTTAAATTTTAAAAGCAAATAATTTTAATATAAAGGGTTTTAAAAAATAATTTTATTATTATCATATTCATCTCTTTAATACGATTCTAATAAGCCCAAAATCATTCAAATCTAATCACAGAATCAAGAGATAAAGCTATAGTCAAATAAAAACA